AGATAGATATTTTTTTTTCATCTGAATACTGATTAGTTGATAGAATTTTCAGTAGGATATCCAAACACCAAAATATTCGATAGCCGCAGTCCTAATTTCTCATCACTGTTGCCCTAGGTAACTCTCCAAAGCTACAACATTACATAATTGCTCCATGAAGTGTGTGACAAAAAAAAAAAAAAAAAAGTGCAACATGAGGTATGCACATTTTCTGTACACTCCAAGACAGCATCAATTTGCTAATGTGTGCTTTTTCAACAAAATTTTTGTCTATACAATTGGGAAAATACTCAATACTCCAAGCCAGACGAATAAATGGGTTTTCCACATGCTGCATTTTAAGAACAAGGTGTTCTGCGGGTAAGCAGCTGGACAGTACCCCCTAAAGAGATGGAAGTTGAAATAAAACAACCCACAGCACAGGTCATCAAGGTTGTATTTTATCCTGTGAATCAATCGTGGCATTGAGAAGATAATGGTGACCGTGAGAATTACCAAATCCAATGCCAACTTGCCAAGTGTTGAAAATGCAATATCAAATTCCAAATTCTATTTCATTTCTCATGGGCAGGCTTACCATTACTTTTTCTGATCTGTCTTGACAGCTTTGAATAAGAATGCAACATAAGTTTAACACATTAAAGTTGCTCACATTTATCCCAACTAATTACACTATGAAGCAACAGATTAAAAACAAAAAACAAAAAAACAAACAAAAAAAAAACAGTCACATAATAGTGGCAGAAAAGATTCTGGAGAAATACAGATGACTTAACGCATGTTTGGTAAACTCTACCTTTAGTTTATAAGGAGAGGAAAAAAACAACTTACCAGTTCACCAAAATGTTTCATGGCATACTCCAGCACACCTGATGCGGCTTCTGGCTGCTGCAGTTTATTGTTGATACTGAAAAATAAGACACATACTGATTTTCAGAAGAATATCTAAACTGAAATTGTATGTGGGGTGTTTTTGGAATGAGCTTTATGAAACAACTTTTGCTTTTCCTAAAATTGGAATCATAGCTTCAATAACTTCCAAAAACTGTGATAAAATAAAGTTTAATATTGGTTGTTGTCAATGGAATTCACATTAAGATGCACATTTTGAATCTCTGTTGTCATACTTCAACTTGTTTTTGCTTGAACCTGTTGCCATATATGCCAGTGACAGAATGGTGACATATCTGGAAAGCGTAACTGCCTTACGATGATGTATGACGTGATATGGTTCTGTCATGACATAATTTCTAGGAGGATGTAAAGTGGAACCTTGGGTTGCAAAATTAATTGGTTCTTTTCCCCATTCAAATTCATGGAAACAGAATGAGTCATGATATTGACCTTAGTTTGATCGTTGTGTGGTTAAATATTAAATTCTGCGCAATGTGCAAAAAGGTGACAAGATAATTTATGGTGATGAAATAACAGTGGGTTTGTTTGCAAATCACTGTGCAGTGTCTTAGCCTTTCTGGCTATGGTAAATGGACACCGCCTCCAACAATGTGACACGGCTTTAGCGTTGCATTGTGGGATGTGGTGGTCATTTTAGACCCGCAAAAATTAAATAAATAAATGAAAGTAACAAAAACAAAGACTGCAGAACCACAGAGCCATGATGGTTATTTGTCGAGAAAAATTACAAAGAATTTTGCGGCCACGCCAATGGACGGGCATTGTAATTCGAGTCAATTTGTGGAGGAATTTAAACGTGTTACGTTCCCATTCATCTGGCAATTAGCGTGGGTCAAAACATGCCGAATTCAAATCAAATTGCACTCATAAAATAACCACCAGAGGGTACTGAAACTGCACAAATGGAAACCAATCTGGCCTTTTTAACAGTGTTGCTTTTCATATGGTGACATGAAAATTGACGATATTGTGGCAATATGAATATCGCAATATCGCCGTTATTGTTACATCGCTACTCTGCAATGGTATGTAAATTAGACTTTGATATAATCAGAATAACTGACATTTGAGGCACTTTTCACTTTTGTGTTATCTTTTGAAGGACAACTGCACTATACTATACTGTAGTTCCTTAATGGTAAAACCCACGAGAAATCGCAGCCAATCCATCTGTAAAATGAAGCGCTTGAGAAATGATGGTATGCAGTGGAGTTCCTGAGGACAGTGGCTGAGGGACGCCTGAGCATGTTTGTCAGACATTACTTTTGAGACAGAGCTGAGGTCCCAGTGTGATGAAAAATAGCTCTGCGTGTGGCCAATGCAAATGACCTTAAAGCTTGCTGTGACAGGTACAATTAATATGCACACCGGGAATTGACTTGAATAGAAACCCAATTAAACCACTGTCAGCAACGTAGGCACTAAACTGAACTCTGAAATGATCATCATTCACCAGCAAAGTTAAAACCAGAGCACTTTTTTAGCCAGAGGTCCAGAATAAAACTTTTTTTTTTGAAATACCAAGGACAAGGCCATAAAGCAAGTTTTAACATCTTCAGAAATGTGATTAAAATATATAAGAACACCAGTAGAGAGGGTAACAAGCTACACACACAGATCTTGAAGATCTCTTGTGCAAAACAAAAGATATTGCAGATATGAATTCATATTTCTCCAGAGCAACTGGGAATCTGTTCCGTGCAACACAGAAGCAGCTCAGTCAAGGTATGCTAAACGTTGCCCAGTTGTGGCTTTTCATCAGAAGAGACAACGGTGAATAAGACTCTTCTCTCCTTGTGGACCCTGTAGATTTAATTGGCCTGCAGCTAAAACCATCTGGCTGCCAGCTTCCACAACACATGCAGTCTAATCACATCCACATGACAAGGCTCAAACATCATGTTCTCCATCTCAACTATTCGCAAGGACAGAACTTCATGACTCGTGTCAAGAATCTCTTTTGCTCACGATGAAAATCACCATGGGACAAGACAGAGCCTTCGTCCTGAATTGAAAGGTGACATCCAACGGTTGAAGCTCTGCCCGGTCCAACTTCAGAATAATTAAGTATTAACACAAATACGTATTGAAAATGTGCCGTTTATGCAAAATCAAATCACTTAGTACAATGAATTCTTTGAGGATTATTGGCGAGTGAGTCGTCCCCGAAAAGAAAAGACGAAAACTGACACCAGTTGTAAAGAGGAATGGCAAGTCAATTGACTCAAGAATGTAAAGAACATAAAGAAACCTGAGAGACCATTAGGTTCAAAAAGGACAATTTCAGACCATTTCGAAATATATTGGCCTCAAGACTTACACCCATTTACCAGATTTGCTTTTCAGATTCAACAACTCTGAATATTTATTGCCCTTTTGATTCCAAAAACAGACCTTTGCTCCACTTTTGTTCTCTGAATATCCAAAGGAAAATGCGACTCTGCAGGATACTTGCTGTAAAATAAAATAAGGAATCGTCAAAATCTCGGCCTTCCACAATTAATGCAAGGAATGTAACGCTGAACGAACCTACGCTGAACAAAGACTCTTGATCAAACTTTACGAAAAATAGAAGAAAGGACGACAAGTTCCTCATGTAATAATTGGAAATCTTGTAATATATGCAAAGCTAACAGAGGGGAACACCAGACTTCACTACTGGACCAAATTTAATAAGAAAGAAATCCTCTTGATCCCGGATATTTGAGGCCAGCCAAATGCACATTGAGACCTTAATGGAATCAAACTTCTGAAAGGCGAACTGGCAAAGTGCATTCAGAAATTAATACTGATCCGTCAAATGTACAGCTACTCGTGTGAGAAAAGCTTAAATAATGCAGGGCTATTTTTACATCTGAAGCCGTCTAGTGACCAGTTGAGGGTGTACCCCAGCTCTTGCCCAAAGACAGCTGGTTTCGGCTCCAGCACACCCATGACCCTAGTGAGGAAAAGTGGTACACAGAATTCATGAAGGGACATTTTTACATGTGGATCAGGGTTCAGCAACTTTGATGGTGACAGTGAGAATGTGTGCATCCCCAAACTCAGACTCTGAGCGTCTTAGCATGGAGGTAAAGCACGTGAACTCAACACCTGCTGGATCGCACACTTGCAAACTGTCCTGGGATAAGCGTAGCTGATGGTGGGTTAGACCTCTGGCACCATAAAGCTGCTCAGCATATTTTTACCCAACAGATCCATCTAAACGGGATAACATTAGTTCTTTCTAACACCGTGAATGGAAATTAGGCAACGTTTTTTTTTTTTGTTTTGCTTTTGTTATGTTGCCTCGAGCATGTTGAGCTTTCAGCTGGAGAAACTATTGAAACATTATCGCCAACTGGGAGAGCAGAGGAGACCGCGTTTCCTGGACTCGTCACCTTCAGGTTAAAAGGCCGGCAGAACAAAGTGTCTCTGGTGCCCCCACTCCTTGAAAAACTGGAAGTGACTTCATTGGAATGCTGCTGTTACTGAGTGAAAAACGAAGTCTGGACTTGGTTGCATATAAAGAATATTCTCTTCAGGGTTGTTCCAGAAATATATATATTTAATTAAAAAAAAAAAAAGGCAGACAGAGTTCACCCTCACACATATAAATCAATGGCAACCTAAAATATTGTGCGTTCTCATTCAAACCCCTGGGACTACTTTTGTGAATTGTGGATGCTGTATTCGCCCAGGATGTTTGTCCGAGCTACTGGTTTGGAGGATGGCAAACTGTGAGCTGATGGAGTAGCTTGTGTTTGCTCTATAACAGATACCAGCTGGCAGCCATCACTAGCTGAAGCCACCAGGACACTTGAGGGTCTGCCAAGGCATGAAGTAAGCCACTCAGACCTGCACAATGCCCCCAGTGTATTCATATAGTCTTCCACCTCATGGAAAATAGTATAAAAGTATCTTAGAATAGTTGATTTAAGCCAAAGTCAGAAGGTTTAACTGTGTAACGGACCGTTGTTCACATTTTTTTTTCAAATGAAGCCCAATGCAAGTCAGCAATAATCAGATTTGGTTTAGCATGGGATTTGTCTGCATTGGATTTTATACCTTAAAAAAAAAAAAAAACAAAAGCAATCCATTGCCAACTAGAGAAAGTTCTCAAAAATGATTCTGCACCAATGATCACTCAACCGGGCATCTTTACCTGGTAGAGTTCCAAGTGCACTGTGTCCACAAAGCTATACACTTCAGTTTGGTGTGCCAGCGTACAGTTTAGAATGGTAAGTCCCCGTGTGACTTGTGTTTCCACTGCAAGATTGCGGGTGGGATGATTTTATCAACCAATAAAAAGCCGGATGTCTTAGCAGTAAAGACGAAGCAAACTGGAGTTGATGGAGCAAATCTTTAGGGCAGTAACAACACTGTTGGACTGGCGTTTTAAATTACAATCAATGTTCATATCTACTGGCAATTTGGAGGCAAAGGCCTACCTCAGTCTCCATCGTTAAGTTTTAATGAAAACCATATAGTTAAAATGTTATGTTTAGCCTTGATAGCCGTCCACTATTGATGTAGCTTAACTTGCACAGTGTCGCAGAGAGCTTGATATTTCACAAGAGGTGGGGTATGCCGCGGACTGTCTGCAAGTCAACTAGGGCTTGACACGAAATGATAAACATCCACACGTGAGCAGCTGAAGTCTTCAGTTCACTGAATCTGGTGCGTCTGTGTGGTCGGAAGAAGTAGGCGCACCCAGGAATAATAAGACCATGCAAACTTTAGAGGACTCGGCAAGCTACTGGTTGAAACATAATTGTATAGTGAGGAAGCCGTTCTTATCACTCCACTAACTGGATGATATATTGATTGTCCCCACCAAAAAAAGATTACTTAAAGGGAAGGATCTGCAGGACAGGTAGAAAAGAGTTAACGTTATGATGTAATTCCAATTTCTTTTTCCACCTCATGTACCGTAATTGAACCCATGAGTGTTCTGATGACAGCTTAGCTCCAGTGGTCACTGGTGAATAACAGAATATCTTTCAGCATATTTGGTGACATAAAAGCCTCCAGTGAGCATTGTGTAAGTCACCATAGGTCGGGTGCTTTGGTAAGAATGTAGCATCTGATGAGACGAGTTAGTGGGTAGCTGTGTTTAAGTGTACTGTTTCGAAGGAAAAACGGTGTGCTTGTAAACATATTAAATAGCATCCAGCTGGTTCGTGCTAGTACCAAATGACAGAGTCCGGGTCAAGTAAAGAGGAAAGTGATGCCGCTGGGATGCATTGCTGGCAAGTGAGAAGATGTGACTCAGAGTAGTTAGGCAAATGAGGACATGCAGGAAGGCAAATTAATCACATTTTTCCAGAAAGGGAGACTGACGCACATCAGTGACTGAAGGTTACAGGATTCACGAGAGCTTCAATGACCAAGAATCTATTATCACGTCACCAACCTTGCCTGTGATTATTTAGAAAAGAGACAAAGTTAAACTATATAAACTATTTCACATAAACTTGAGTAATCATTTAAAAATACATTTGCATTAAGGCAATTTAGACTTGATCGGATGTATTCCACCATACTTCGTTACGTTACAATTCTCATGCTTTCAAACTTGTCACCTGATATTCAAGGATATTTCACAAAATTAATGGAAAAAAAATAATTTGATATAGATTCATGCATACTGAGTTGTGGCGTGTAATTTAGAAGAGCAGCGTTCCAATCTTCAAGGACCGTACTTGACGCAGGTCTTGGCATGTTATTCCTTAAGAATTTAGTCAAATCTGCAGAGATAACTTGAAATACCGTAAGAAAGATTACACTGCAGCCGTAGAATCGTCAGTAACTGTGAATAACATTTGACAAAGTTGTCTGTAATTTAACTGCTAACGCAAATAACTGAATTAAGAAGCTAACTTAAAACTGCAAATGCCCTTGGAACTTCAAGCAGCAACCTTTGGATTCTTTTGCAGAGAAGAGGTCAACAAAAAAAAATGTAGAATAAGCGAAAGTCACTTGGAAGGAAAGGCAGAGGGGGCAGGGGTGAGAAAGGACTTACACCCAGTGGGTTGAGCACTTGGAAGAAATGGGAGGACCCACATGCAAATATTTAAGATGCTCTGGGAGAGGAGGTCTTCAGTGAGGGAACACGAGTGAGCTGCCGTTCAAAGAACTACTGAGCAACCACAACTTGACTGACTGACTGGGCTCGAAAAGCTATCACCAACAACCCGAGTGAATATCTAGAACGTCTTCAATATGTCAAAAGTCAATCTCAGTATTGTGGCAGTCAGCATTCTGCTGGTAGTGGGGACATGGGCCCAGAATCCCAAGAAGGCGCTGAAACCACCAAAGCCAAACAAGGCTCAGTGCTGCGATGAGGTGCGTTCTCTCAAGGTTCAAGTGGCTAATCTGACCAGTCTCCTCGGGGAGCTGAGCCGCAAGCAGGAGGCAGACCTGATGACTGTCGTGAGGCAAATCATGGACCTGGACAAACAGAACCGGCAGCAGGAAGCCAGGGTCACCGAGGCCGAGAGCAAGTACTCTGAAATCAACAACCGTGTGGAGATCATGCAGCTTCAGACCCTGCAGTCTGCTCCTCAGACGACAACATCAGGTGAGCATCCATCCTTTTATCGCGGATGTTAACAGCAGCCCAATTAGTAGCACTTCAGTGTGCAAGTATCATAAAATAAATGCATTAGAAGGTTTTTGTATATCGGTTGTAATCTTTTTTAAATCCTTTTTACGGAATTTAAAGTTCGATCTACATAACTGTCAATCTGATTTTCTGTCAAAGTCATCTATCATTTCAGCATTAAAACGACACGAACCCAGAGTGGGGCAAACCAGGCATGACATCATTTATCATTTCAGTATCTTGACTGTGCAGTCTCACAGGGTCACATTTATGTCACTGAGAAAAGGGGGCACGGAGACCTTTGGACAATGTGAGCAAATTAGACAGGACCGCAGAGCAGGACGAGGCCTAGGATTGGGCTAGATTTAAGACTTGAGATTTCGTACGAATCCATCTCTACTTCTTGCAAACTTTCAACGGAAAAGGAACCGTTCATTCATCATGAAGTAATTAGTATTACTATGCCGGGATGAAGGTGAAGAACAGAATAAACTACAGGATTCCAAGTTATCTTTTGGGGTGGTAGTTAAATCAGGACATTAAACTATTTCAGTCTTTGATGACAACTGACAATGTTCTTTTCTCCAGATGCCATCTATGACTGTGCAACACTCTACAGCAAGAACTATAAGATCTCTGGCGAGTACAAACTTCCAAAAGATGAGTTCCTGGGAACACCTGAGCTCAGTGTGAGTAATACTGAAGCTTTCTGTATTTTATGCACTACCTTGTGGTGATCATTTTGGTAAAGCATGAATGAGGAACATTTGGATTTTGAAAATCCTTGTAGGTGTTCTGTGATATGGAGACAAACGGAGGTGGCTGGACTCTCATCCAGAGGCGTAAAGTTGGTCTGACAATATTTAGCCGCGACTGGAAGCAGTACAAAAGCGGATTTGGATCCATCCGCGGAGACTTCTGGCTTGGCAATGACCACATATTCCGTCTAACAAGGCAGCCTAGTGTGCTCAGAATTGAGATGGAGGTAGGTGTTGGCAAAGCCAGGTCTGCAAAATTGAAGGAAAAAAAACCCACACACAAACGACGCATAAAACACATTTATAACTAACAGTATGAGTGCACAAAAATGACTAAAAACATTTCATATGCAGGACTGGGAAGGAGAGACTCGTTATGCTGAGTACGGGCTTTTCTCTGTGGCCAATGAGCTCAACAGCTACAAGCTCTTACTTGCCAACTACAGAGGGAATGCTGGAGATTCTTTGCGCTACCATAACAACACCAACTTCAGCACTTTCAACAAAGACAATGACAAGTGTGTGGATAACTGTGCGGCATTGCGCAAAGGTAATTCATGACACCAACTCCAAAAACAATGGAGCAATGATGGTTATCAAAAACTGTCCAAATAAATGCCCTCAACTCAATCTCATCTCTTTTGTAGGTGGTTACTGGTACAATTGCTGCACTGACTCAAACTTGAATGGAGTTTTTTACCGCTACGGTGAGCACATGAAGGGCACGGATGGGATCACTTGGTACGGATGGCATGGTCCCAACTATTCCCTCAAAAAGGTGGAGATGAAAGTCCGGCCAGTAGGTTTCCAGCCCTAAATTCTACAGATGTAAATCCTGGATCAAGACCACACAAGATCTCACTTATACATGATCAACCAAAAATGGCTTTCCGACAGCTGCCAAAGGAAGTCAATTTGTTGAGAATTGCCTTGATGAGGTTCAAGTCAGTTGAATGTTTTGTTGGTATTGGGTGTTATTGTAAATTGTAGTTGTGTTTAGTATATTTATCAGAAAAATATTGTATTTTAAATGTATGCTCTTTTTCCACTGTACCACATGGGTGGCTGGACTATGACTCATTTACAGTACTTGCAAAATCAAGAAAGCTTTTTTTTTCCTGCATTGATAAATTTCATTCATGAAGAGTAGCAAAGACATGTCAAGGTGGATCAAATCTATATCATGTGTGGGTAAAACCCAATTTCAATGCATCGTTTTATTGCTGGAATGGGACCAAATGCATTTTAATTGTGCTGCATTTTATTTTAAAACAAACTATTGATGTCTGAAATTTGTAAAATGTGTACAGAGCTGTAAGTATGCTGTTTTTATGTGACAGAAAATAAACATATTTTTTAAAATAAATTATATGCCTAACTTGGCTCTGACAATTACCGTTTCCGGCTTCTGTGGCTCCATAGTTTTGAAACGTGACTAACTCAATGCATACCACAGTATTCTCACCATTCATACCAAACCTATTTGCTTTGAGTGACTGACCTCTGACTCTGACATGTGGTCACCTCGTGACAGAAGGTTCTAAGGCTGCTTCACATCAATGAAGACCACCCACAAAATACTTTATTCCGCCATCAAGAAACATACTTAGCTAGCTAGCTTCATGGGTATGAAAATAAGACAGTTTTGCTACGTTTTGATCAACAAGTTTGTTACAATACTGACATGCTTACAAAAAAAAAAAAAAAAAAAAAAAAAAAAAAAAAAATCATAAATTTGTTAAAAAACTAACAGCTTTAAAAAAAAAAAAAAAAAAAAAAAAAAAAAAAAAATCATAAAACAACTACAAAAGAAGCTCCTGTGTCTAGGAAGTTCTATGGCAGGCTTGGAGAGATTCATTTTCATTTTACAAGGTGCCACATTAACTTACGATAAACATCTAATTAAGGCTGTAATAGTATCCCTTCCCTTTTGGAAGAAATTACCAGTGGAATTATGTCGGAATGTGGCGGAAGACCGACTAATCCAAGTCTATAAAACTAATCAAACTGGTGAAACCAACTGTAACAACATTGTGGAAAATATTACTCGTAATAATGACACTCTGGACTGTGTCGGGTCACATATATTTTCATAATAAAATTGGCTTGACCAAAAATACATCCTCGTTGTATATGAACTGCATCTGGAGTGGGACGTCATTTTATCAGCCTGCTTTACAGAGGGCGACAGTGACATTACAACAGGGCTTACATCCTCGTCCCGAAAATATGCACGATGAAAGACTTGCATATATCTGAAAAGGAGACCTGACAGAGTCTAAAAATGTTGGCGAAGGGCCATTGTTGCTATACAAAGCGGCAACAGTGTTATGGTTAACTTTGAGTGCTTTTGGCTTGTGCTACGAAAGTTCGGTAATTTGGGGTTTTGTATTTCTCTTAGCACTTTCAAACGTCAGCAGCGATGGTTGTTGGCGCCATAGTTAGCACATTAGAGAAACAATCATGGCTTTTGTACTTTAAAGACTCTCAGGCTGAACACAGTCTGTTCAATAACGCTGGTCAAGCTCTACCTTTTTTGTGACACCACCAGATTTTGCGAAGAAAATAATACAACACTATAGCATTCAATCTTTAACTGCCAAATTTGTGTACAAGAAAAAAAAAAATCAACCTTTGCTTAACAGACTTCATAAACTATGTTCATGCCCATAACTTTGATCATGTACGATGGACAGTGACACACTGACGAACGTCAAGGGACGTTACTGCTGTCTGTGACCACACATTAACATGAAACAGCTGAATTTGTGGTACACATTCTGATCTTCTATTGATGTGGACCATCGAACAAGATTGTACAGAGATAGACAAGTGTGCTGCTTTCCATGTGACGCTACAGCTATGGTGAGATTATATCTTTGTGCGTTCACGCAAGCAGATCGCATTTGCAATCGATGGCCCACTGGGAGGATTTTGCAGTATATTATGCCATCTGTGTTGCTTTTTTAACAACTTGATTGAACTCAGTGAGCATCATGAGAGGCGGTGTATTTCGTTGCATCATGCTAAGGAAATATATAAATATGTTTTAACACAGTGCATTAAAAGGGCAGACTGCATGGCTACTATAGATGACATTTTCATCAAGAATTGCAGACATCTAAAAAGATCGGATCAAACGAAGCCGAATTCTAAATTCCATTTTCAAGTATTTCCATTGTCACCACCAGCGATATAGCTCAACGTTTATTATTAACATGTGTTTCAGATCCTGCAGCCCATTGCCCCATATAAACATTACCCAGTTTGATCATTATAATGGAGATGGAACGAATATGGTCAATGAACAACATACCACTGCAGTTGAGGATAAGGGTACAAAGGTATTCTGAAATTAGCCATAGCAATAGGGCCTACAAATACAGTCGTGAAACCAAAACCCTTTACAGGCCAAAGCATCAAACATGGGAACTTGGTCAAAATGGACAGCAGCAATAATAAATACAATGACAAAACATTTTACTCATTTGTAGTGGGGTATCATTGTTGCATTGTGTTCAAATTTGAGCATAAAGATCCACACGACAGAATAAAATGCCCAATAGTATCAGAAGGTCATGAACACGCACGATGAATATTCAATTATTCAAGCATCAGCATGTTGCCTTCCATATTATCAGAATGGCGATCAGATACTGCGTGCGATTTTTTTTCCACCCCTTTTCAAAATGAAGTCACGACTCATTAGAGCCAGGTTTACAAAGTGTTTCTTGCATACCAGGCTATGTTTATTTATTTTTTATGGGAAATTCTGGAGAGGTGAGAACCAGATGGGGATATTGAAAAAAACTAGACTGCCTGTTACCATCATTCATCATCATCATCATCAAGGCTCCAGAGAAATTGCAAACAGCCCCGAGAAACACAATTGCAGATACTCATAGATGAAAAAGGGGCAAATGTCCAATTAGATGGCTGGAAAACTGCTTTCTGTATGCCATTCCGAAAACAAAGAAATAAATGCAAATACAAAAGGGTGGAAAACGTGACGCATTATATCTAAAGGTTATGGAACTGATGGCATGTGTATTGTAATTGGATCAATTTTTTTCAAAATTAACAGTTGGCTTGTGTCACACTCACCTGCCAAACTAGATTTTTGTGACAATAACTGTGCATAACTACCTGGAACAATTAATAGGAAAAGGATGTGAAATTGGCCTAAAAAGACAGTTGTAATCTTTCAGTTACATTGACTCAATGACAATAAATACATAATACTACTTTAAGCTGACATACAATCACAATGTTTGCAGAAAACAAAGAAAAATTAGGCAAAGCATTCAATACAACCACTTCTAAAAAATGACCAACAATCATAATAATAACAATAACAATAATAATAATAATAATAATAATAATAACAGTTGCTGTTTTTTGTCAGCATTGGCATATATTCCACAAAATTTCCATTTAGTTTTGGCAAGAATTCACAAAATAATGGGTACAGAACTGAAGATGAAAATTCGTTGAATCCTGTCCTTCAGGAACTACAATTAATCTCAAATATAATAAGTAATAAAGAAATTGCAAAATTAATTTGAGACTTATCCTACTGTGAAATTTCATCAGATATGGTGGTTACCGTTTTTGTTATGCTTTGTAAGCGCTGATTATACTTTTAGCTCCATGACTCTTCACCTCCCTTTTGCGATTAGATTGATGTGCTTTGTTAATCACAGAGGAAATGAAGTTCTGGTAATAAATCTTTAGTTTTAGCTTTGGCAGAAGTCTGTGCTGTACAAATGGTTAGAATATGATACACCTGTGTCATTGGCATTTTGGCTGTGCCTTAGGAATTTTCAGCATTCACATGCAATTTCAATTAAGAAATGAATTTCAGCGTCCTACCTGATAAGAGACTCCAGGATGAGGGGTGACGGACCTTTTTGAAACTCCAACTCTTTATAATGCAAAGCTTTGGCGTATGCGCGGCACTTAGCGGCTCTCTCACCAAGCAGAACAATACCATTGTCGTCTCTCAATGGCAGAGGCCCCTGGACAGGAGATTATACCAAAACAAGCAACCAAGTCAGCCAAGGAGGTTGCTACACAACAATTCACTCCTAGAGCTAGTTCAGAACATAGGACAGTTTTAGCACAGCACACAGGCTAGCAAAGTTAGCACATAGGTGAGTGACATTAGCCCTTGGTTATCTCTGCGTTGGTTTCACTGTGTTTACATTTGCTGGATTGACTGTTTCAAAAAATTTAATCAGTTTAGTCAATTGTGATTTCACAATGATCATATTTACTATAGTACTGCGCTATTCTGGTTTTAGAATTCAGCCATTTTAAAATCCCCTCAGATTGTGTATCTACGGACACACAGCTGAGATTTCCCCCTAAATATGACCTGTCCAATCCTGCCGTTTAATTGTTCTAGGGAGGTGTGGTGGTTTTACTGCTCAATGTCGACCTTGTCACTGTGCTCCATGAACTCTGCCAGGTTCAGTAGCGTCTGCGTGACCTCTGCGATGTCCTGCGACGTGAGCGCTAACTCGATGCTGCGGATGAGCTCATCCTGCTGGTCTTCACTTAGTTCGGACCAGCAGGATAGGAAAGCCGCATTGAACAGGTCCCTATGGACAGAGATACACAAATGTTAAAAAGACACTTGGGGATGTCGAAGAGCAGACAGCCTTTCAACTACCTTACAAACACAGTGATTAACCAAGTGTAATCTCTTTCAGTTTTTTTGTTTTCTTCTTAAGGTCACATCTGGAAGCTACTAGTGTTTGCAACCAGTACACAGATCCACAACATATGTTCTGTGTGGGGTTTTTTTTTATTTGTTTGTTTTTTTTGCTATGCACAGTGGTAGCTATTCATAATGCAAACACTACGAAGTGGTCAATTATGTATTATATTATTGTGGGACAAATACAGGCCTATTATATTTTAATTATCTCAGAAGTAACAGGTAGGATTTGAAAGGTCAAACAACAGAGAGGAATTGAACCATTAGATAGGTTAGCGGTTAATTAGACTGTCCGTCTGCTTGAATCTGAACTCTTCATGCTAGAAAGCCATTTTAGATGGCTTTTGGAAGGGTTTTTTGTGTGGGTTTTTTTTTCCATAGATCCATCGCAAAAGACAAATTTTAAAATATCTGAACTGAAGATTAACACCATATTTTATTCCATCTTCAGTTCCTGTACGTATAATGGCCAGGTGTCCGAATACTTTAGTCTGCGTATGACTAATGTGGTGGTGTACCTGGCTAGTGGGATGTAGGTTTGAGCCAACGACCAACACGATCTCAGTGCTGGGGAGGAAGACTCCTTCAGAAGGACAACACTTAAGCGTCTCAACCACTCCAGCCAGTCATCTTTGGAAACCTTTCGAGCGGCGCCCCAGGCCTGTGAGCAACAGATCGTTTTCTTAGTTCTTGAGAACTACGTGGGAGCAGTCTGTTGGATGATCGCCATGCACAGTTGCACAAATGCACTTCTGTGATGAAATAGTTCACAAGAACTTTAGATTTGATTGATTGTAAATTGCTCATGGTTGCAGAGCAGTGGAAAACCAAACCAAAATCAAATAAGGTTGCAGTTCTTCCATTACACTCGGGATTGATGTTCATTCCATGCTTTGTAATTCATCATTGACACCATCGTAAGACAATATTAATATCGCAGTACTTTGACTTGTCATTATAAGAGTGCCACATGTCTTTTAAAAGCCTACCTCAGCATGAGCTGCAATGAGAGGCAGTGGATTGTCGGTCAGTTTCTCAGAGAAATGCTACATAACTTATTTTCCACGAAATTTTGTCGAGGAAATAAAAGGTGCAGCTAAAGGAATTTATTTTCACTGTTTGAATCACTGGAACTAGCTGCTGTCCACGGTATCACTGAATGCACATGGCCCCTCCTGGCCATTCCTAGTGTCTTACATCATTCTCCTGTGAACCAGAAAGTAGCCAGCTAACAAATGAACACAATGACTAACAAACACAAGACTCAAATTTGGGCTTTGCATTCTTTTTAAATCTTAGATGAAACGCTTTGCACCCTAGGTAATGTTGATCTAGATGAAAACTCAAATCTCGGGAAGACAGTGGATATGATATATCCAAATGTCAACTATTTTGACATGCGCCAACACAAAAACATATTAAAGTCACAAACGGTCCCTGTTTCTCTTGAGTACATAATTATCCTCTTTGCTATGCTATCTGACCCTACCGCGTTATCTTTTGTGCCGCAGTAGAGGTCTGTACTCTAACGGAGATGTTGCTGTTCTTTTACATAAAGGCATTCGGTTACCCAGTGCGCATCTGCACTCAATAGATTTAACCACCAGACTTGAGTTGTTTTTTTCCCCTTTTAATTTGTCACGGTCTGTTCTTAAGTCACCACCTCAAGTAAACTAAAATGTCTTGCAGACAAGTGATTGGTTTATATACTTCATTTAACATGCAAACAGAGCTAAATACAGCTTTCATTACAATTCTTTCTGACCTTTTGAAGAGCTGTTGTGCTAACGTGAAGTTTCTTCATTGGTCCCGCTTCCACTGGTCCACTGACCAATGCATCACCTTGGTTACCACGTACATGGCGGTGCTGAAAGATAAGAGGATTCTCTTCCTCCTCGGCCAGAGTATAGCCCTGTTACGAATACAGACATGCAAGGACCACACAGATGGAAAAAAAAAGGCTGTCGCATCAGGCTGACCAAAAAATGTTTTGTGAATTAACAAGTGCATATCCATTCGGGGGAATAACTACAAATTATTTGGTTGTGTTACATACTGTGTGAATGTAACTTTTTTTTCTCAAAAATGTAGCACTACTCAATGTTAAGGTGATAATTGCTCGTACTTTAAATATTGAATAATTGCAAATTAATGTAAAGGTGTATTATTCATCACTTTAGCAGAGTTTTCAGTATTTTTATTCCCTACAACGAGGAGAGGAGCTCACCTTAACAATGCGACATATGAGGATGTCATAGCGTTGGTGGTTGATCCGGTGCTTCAGCATCACTTTATTTACCATGGGGATAAAGATCTGGTACTGCAGATGGGAGGCAGGTGAAGGAGAGTAAATCACAGGGTATATGTGTGCTTAATTACATACCTAATTTTGTTTTCCCCGAAATCCTTTTCCCCATAAGCCAAATAAATGAGGATCAAACTACGTATGGGGTCTTACATCAAAAGCTTCCTTTTCACATGTTGCCAGACGTGGCTACATGAGGAATGCTAACGATAGTGTTGATGAATGGGGAGGGGTAAGGCATGGGAGGAGACAGAGTAAATGTGACCTTAGCCATGCTCATAAACAGAACACCCCCACTGACAGACCATGACATAAGCAGTCTAACGGGAAGTAATAAAGGGCACGGGGTGTAGGGGTAAGTGAAATACCGTTCATTTGCAGCCAGCAGTGGGAAGGCGGGAAGTGTTCTACTGAGTAATTGCTCCATCGGAGAGCTCCACAGAGAGCCAACAGCTACCTTTTTGCCCAATTGGAAGACGAGCGAGGACAGGGTGTCCATGGACGTGGAGCGCAATTCAGGCGTACTGTCAAGCGTCCGGACGATGGGGTGGATAATTCGAGATGCGTAGTCAGTGAAGTCCAGGGATTCTGTTAGCCTGTCCAGAGTCTCTAAGGCAACCCTGAGCCACAGAGAAGGAGGGGAAAAACATTCAAATATACAAATAAATATATTTGCATATTCTGCCCATGATTGCATGTTTTTTCTGGGTAAAGTATGTTGATTAATATCGCATTTTTGGAGTATGAATTTCGCAGAAAATTTGCAAATGTCACACCATGAACAAACCCAGACAGCATGTGAGTAGTGACAGTTGTTACCAGAGGTCTTAGACACTGTGATGTAATTTTCAGTTGGTAACAAGTGTCAGAGATGGATTAACAGTTGGATTGTTCTGTTTAAATCATATTTCAAAAATGCAATGTCTTGATTATTGGGGGTGCATAGAAGATGTTATTATGAAGAACATTTTGGAGTTGACTTCCCCTTTAAAGGGTAACGTGTTCATATGCGAGTAAAGATTAATGATTGAGTCAGGCTTGACTGAAATAGCATTTTCTGGATGAACCGACACTCCATCCACAGACAAGTGGTACAGACTTGCGGGCTTGCAGGGGCACATCGGGGGCATCAAAAAGCTTGACAATCGGAGGCAGCAACAGGTGGAGGTAGTCATCGAGATTGGCACCAAACAGCTGGATGGCATTTAGCAGCTGCAGATAAAAGCACACAACCCAGCACAAACATCTTAGTAGGTCTCTCTTGGTGTCACCAGTCACTTTTTACCCGAGTAATCGATAGAATGATTGATAGCATTATAAACTCGACAAAGATTTGCAAGCAAAAGTCCTAATGAGTCGCCTCTAAGAATATCTCCAACTGCTAAAACACGAGCAGAAGTGAGCACCCTTATTTAATGCGCACATGGCACGGCAGCAGGAAGCAGAGGGGTGCAAGTGTATCCTGAGAAATGGTTGTAGACAGAATGAACAGTTCCATGGAATGATGGAAGTATGCTTTTCTTTTCCTCTCCTTTGGATTAGTGGATAACCGGAGTCCCATTTCACTACATTTTGCGCAACCCCAAATCCTTTTGAGCCAAATCCAGACCCAGATCTGACTCATAGATGACCCAGTCTATAGGCTGCTGTTATCTAATGAGTAAAGCCTCAGAGATTAACCAGTAGCAGAGGGGAAAATGCACCACGAAAAAACATTTAGCATATGATAATGTCCTTGTGGCCTTCAACCTGAACTATTTTCAGGGAAAAAACACACAAACGCGAGAAGCATCTAAAACAGAAGTGAGTGGCTGCTTTGGGTCTATACAGTCTTGCCTTTTGGAGAGTGCATTACACAACTTACAGTTGAGCTCTGAATGAGCTTGATGGAGCCAACAGAAAACCGAACTGGAATATATTAACAACATTGGAACCCCTAAATTCTAATGAGCCACAGGCACAATTGGGAATTTTGATGAAAATCTGATTCATGTCACACAATCATTACGAGTTTGAACGGCCATCATGCATGACATCACAAGACAAGCATTCAAGGATAGTGTCATTTGTTGTTTGAATGTTTCAGTTGCTCAATAAAAAGACCAGCCTCAACAAGGTGTGTTGAAAGAAGAACGTGTGACGAGAAGAATGTATACCAGAGGTTACGTGACGTAACCACACTACATTCAATACAGTCAGACCACAGCTGTGTTTTCACTTCATATCCAACTTAAGGTAGACTGCTTTATTATTTCTGTATATTAATATCCGTGGCTTTTTCCATGTGTATGAAATCTAATGTCAAAATGTTACTGTAATGAAGGGTTTATGATGGTGGCAGTTTGACCCTGAAACAAGTTATTTGTATTTAAAATCATAATCACTTCAAAATTCAAACACTTCATTAGGCCAACCAGCTTCTCTGAACGGATTGTGTTCCACTTTAAAATGTGTAATTCCATGTAATTCCATGTAATTTATTCTTCACCGATAAAAAAAATGGTATACATTCTGACTGATTATTCTGACACTTTTCCATACTTCATGGGAATACACTTTCAGCCCATGGTGAGATTTCAAAAACTCTTACCAGCATACAAAATGTGAACCTGTTTCAAATCAAAACCTCCACCTGAACACAGGAGGCTAATGTTTTCGCCAGCAGTCATTTCAAGTAGTCAGTTTCAAACAAAGATTGCTTTTGTTGGGAGCACAAGCCTGCATTTACCTTAATAGTAACACTGCGCCCGGTGCTGTTGTCATGCATGAAGACACGCAACATGTGCGGGATGAGCTGAGGCAGGTAAAGTTTAAACTCTCCCCCCAGGGCCACTACAATCTGTTCAATCAGAAGGATGATGGTGTTCTGCATGGGATTGTTTGGTGTCCAGTACTCCTGCAAAACAACAACAAGTACTTTAGTTTCCCAGTAACAATTTAAAAAAAAACAAAAAAAAAAAAAACAGTAGCTATTTATTTTGTGAGAAATGTGGCAGAAATGTATTCAAAAATTCAAAGGGGCTACATGAATTGCAAATCAGCGACGATTGGACTCCTGAGCTCGATTTGTACTCGTTCAAGCGACAGTTCTGATTCTTTGCAGCCAGATGACACAATTCAATAATAAATATGCTGAAATATTGGATGGTATCTGTAAATAATGCTATTTTTCTCATTTATTAACTGGGAAGTAAGATGACATCACACTTCAGTAAAAACTATAACACCATTTTCGGAATAGGTGGTACAAATGACAACTGTGTTCCTGAGACACACTGGCCTTTGAACTTAAAAGCAGAGTACATGATGTATGATTGGTGGAGGTGTTTTTGGTCAAGAGGCCAGAGGGCAAAATATACTGACTTCCCACCTTGCCTGCCCGTGGGTGCTGACTACAGCGCAAATGAGTGCACGTTCGCAATGACTATTCAAGAGTCCTCACATGGATGCAGCAGTTAGGGAAGAGAAAAAAAAAAGGAGAATAGATTCTTTGTTTCACTTGCCTTTTATTCACCCGGTGGGACATAGTAGCTTCTCTTGGTTCTCTCAATTATTTCTCTCTAAGATTTATCACCATTGAAAAAGTACTTTTAACGTTGCGAGCGAGTTCCAACAGAAAGGTAGTCATACGATATTTTGTGCCTTGCAATTTAATTATGAGCATGACAGGTGGGTTTGTGCAAGTGCAGAGGATATGGATTTAGCAGTCATTCAGCATCATGTGATAAAGGTGAATGGTGTGAGTCAGTGTGGGTTTTAACGGGAAGAAGGAACTGGATGTTTTGAGTGGAAATCATACCTCAGAGCTGTTAACTACGGCTACCAATGGCATATGTATTTCAGCATGTGAAATGATATTCCCAACAAGTGGGAAGCTGAGAAAGCCTGATGGAAAGAATTTAATGGCTACATTTGATTGATCATTTGACATGATTCTATGAGTCTTGCTTGAGTGATACGTTGTGTAATAATTTGCTGATGCTCTGCTCTGCTATGTGAAATGGGGGCCAAAACGTCATTCATCGAGGCCCTGATCAAGTTACAAACGAGTCAAATGGAGAACACAACCTCCATCTCAAAGGTTTACAGCTGTTTGCATGAAGAGACTGGCTGATCCCCGTTTGAAAACTGGAGGTCAGGGGACACGGCCATTTGCCATTTCAAAAAGTTCTGTGCCATTCTTGACACAGAGCATCCGACACACAAAACCTTTTGAGAAAATAAAATGATCATAATGAAACGAAATATAAAAATATGATGGCTAAAACCATGAGTTAATAACATACACCATTACCCTGTTGCATGTGTAATCATTTAAAAAATAATTTTTAAGAGATCAAGTCAACCTTTACAGATGATTTTTTTTGCATTGATTCCGCATCTGCCCTCGTTTTTTTTTCTCTAGCACATCAGGTTTTCATAATAATAATATAGTAAAATATTAAGTAATATTTATAAAGATTAGGTTCAGCAACAGGTGGAGTTTTTTTTTCTAAAACATCACAGCTATAAATTACAACACAGCATGGATACTGCGCAAGCTTTTATAGTTAACACTTAAAAACAAAATATGAAAACGACTCAAAAACCTGACATTTTGGAAATCTACATCGAAAATATGTTAACAATACATCTTTAGTTATGGAGGGCTTTTACAACAGCTTTAGGGACAGACAAAGCCATCTCTGATTACAGTTATTGCAGATCAGAGCTCTTGATGGCAAAAGCTCGCAAGGTCTTTATTACCAAGCAGCCTCTGTATCTTGAAGACCGAGGTTGTTACATTGAAAATAATAGAATGCATCCCAAAAGGTATTTTGCTCAAGGCTATTCTGAAAGGATTTACTGTGCAAGCGGGCCAGATGACTAATCAATAAACATGTTCCAAATGAGAACATTTCCCCAAAACATCTGCAACCGGCGCTAGTTCATTGCTCTAAGCTTCACTCGAGGTCCTCTTCTCTCCTACCCATTGCTCATCTCATCCGTGACATATTAAATCATTGGAACATCCTCACTGATGAGGAAAAGAGGGGACCGTAATTACAAGGATGGAAAGTAAACATAATTACTCACTCTGATGAGGGTGAAGATGTCATCCATGTAGGGGCGGATGTGGATCTTGACAAAGCATACCACCATTCCCATCTGCTGAAAAAGGAACTGGAGAAACACAAGGAAGAAGTAAGACCAGACTTACTGTGGGAATACCGGTTTTAAACTGAAAAGGAGAAGAAACTTGATAGCATTCTAACCCTGTCTGGAGTGCTACCTACCTCTCGGATACTGGCATCACAGACGCGAATCACGTTGAGAAAAGTGGGCATGACCTGAGGTAGGAATTGGACGCACTTGAGGCCCAGAGACTTGAAAATGAAGGTAACAGCCTGTACCACCATGGTGTGGTGGTTTGACAGTGATGGATCTCTCAGGATACGCATCAGAGTAACGATCGCCACGGCGGGGTAAAACTCATCCAGGGGCAGGTTTCCCATATTGACCAGCATCTCACTGGTGCTGTAGTCAGCTGGGATTGAAGAGAAAACTACAGTCATCAACAGCACATGATGGAAATATGAGCGACCAGAACGTACATCAAGGATTGTCCAGTTGTTGCTCTTAGTCAATCTGCACAGCTTGCACCTTCCATTGTGAAGTGTTAATTGAATGGGGAACTGATCCCACACCAGCTCCAGCCATAAGTCTGCTATGTCAACCACCATACTACCAATGACTTCTGATAAAAGATCCCAAAATTCAAATATTTGTGGGAAAAATAAAAACAAATACATGGCTTTTCTTGTGTTTAGTATACTGTTTTGTTTGGAAGCATTCCATCTCGCACAAATATTACCGTATTGGCCCGAATATAAGACGGCCCTGATTATAAGACGACGCCCTCTTTTTCAAGACTCAAGTTTGAAAAAAGACTTTTTGACCACCAAATTAATTTTTATACAGAAAATAATTCCAGTACATCTGAAACAAATGATTATAACAATATATTTGAGAGAAAAAGCATGGCATTTTGCCTCATTCAAATCTTAATATCTGAACATTTAAATATGTAAACTAAAGTGCAATCACATTCGTAAATGAATGGCTTCTGGTTGAAATGTAAATTACATCATAACTTCTCCTCAGCTGCCGGTTAACCTGGCCGATCTTCGACCCACTTTTCTCCAGATTGTCGCTATGTTTCTCCATTTTCTGATATCTCTTCTATTATTTTCTTCTCTTTTCTTTCTTACCGCTATTTTTTATTTTTCTTCTTCGTGCTACCCTATTTTTTTTTATTCTTCGTGACAGGGGTTCACTTTGGCCTGGGGAGTCAAGTACAGCATTCGCTTCAATGATATCTGGCGCCATCTAGCGTCGTGAATGGGTATAACGTCTAGACCCCGAATATAAGACGACCCCCACTTTTTCAGTTTTATTTCAATGCAAAAAACACCGTCTTATATTCGGGCCAATACGGTATGAAACATGACATTGATATCGGAGATGCGCCGCCAGTAAAGCAACGTCCGTATCGCGTTGATTCAGTGAAGAGGGCAGCCATGAGAGAAGAGAATCGAGACCTTCTTGAGCAAGGTTACGCTGGCAGCCTCTTCCTAACAGAGGAGGGTGTAATAGTAACCTGCATAGTAGAGGGGTCTTCCATTGAGTGTACTTGATGGTGACAAATATCTCTAATGCCTCCTGGTTGTGCGCAGTATCTCAGTACTCATGTTATAGGACGTTCGGGACCCTAACCTAGTCTTCTAAATGAATAAACATCATTTACTTAGTCGAGACATTCGTCAACCTAAAAAGGCTTTGGTTCCAACATCATGGACAAGGGGAGGTTTAATGCATGAACATAACCGTGAATCACAGCATGCAGCTTGATCATGGCTATAGCCTGTGTGTTTCATCATCTTCAAAGACCTATATCCATGTGGAAAAGTGTCCCCCAAAGCAAGCATGCTTATGGTTTTCTTGTATTGTGAGCTTTATGAGGTAATGCCGAATCATATGGGGGTATACTGTTAGCAGACATTTCCGGACATGATGTACATCAACTGTAGAGGTAAGACTGAACTATCTACTTTATATATAACACAACACTTTGCATACACTGTTAAGACATATTTTTATTGAAAGTATCCAGACATTCAATCCCAGGAAGATATATTTTATTTTTCAGATGGTAGGGTAAAGGAGGGTCTGGCAGTGAAATTGTTTGCTTTGAGTATTATACACAAGTACATTATATTATAGAAAACACATCTTATGCTGTGTTTTCTATTCTGTTTGCTAATTTATATTTATTCTACAAATATACTGTATTACTAATGCTATATTTTATATTGTACAGTTCTTTCTGAAAAAATTATTTTGTGCAATGAAACACTTTGTTTTGTGTTCTTCCCCCCCAATTTTGCTGCTGTAGACTGCAAATTTCGCCAGTGTGGGACAAATAAAGGTTATCTTATCTTATTATCAGATGTGACAAATATTTGTCATTGTTGTGAATAAAGTGTACTGCACTTTTGCTCCAATAACATATTTAATGTATAATGGTACTGTACAAATTTGTATGACCGATGTGGTTTGACATGATTCCCTCACGGAAATAAGGACGAATTAGGGCGTTCCAAACGTTTGTTTTTGGCATGCAGGACAGCTGTTGAAGGGCAACTTTCAGCAAGGGGGCTATAATATTCGAATGCTCGTTATTGAAGAACTTACGGTAATTGTTGCCTTTGTATGTGTCATTACCTTGACATACCATAATCTCAAAGTTCAAATGACAGCTGTTGGCCGACTATTCATTCCTGCGTCCTTCAAAGCAGTTTTTTTGTATGTATCTTTTCCGCAAGTGATGCTTATTGTGCTAGTATGTCGATTTAAATGTGGAGAACTAGACGTCTGATGCTAGACAGATGTCTGATATTCAGGGTCTTATTGCACTCCTGCAAGAGTGCTCATCTCCCTGAAGGGCTGTAGACAACGTAGGCTGTTAATAGGTCTGCAGACTAAAGTGAGAAGCTTTGCTCTTTGTGCCTTTTATTATTCAAATCGACAACTTGTCTGCAGAAGACAGCTAATGCCCTGTTTATGTAGCCGAAAAATAAATAATCAGTGGGGTTAAATTAATTAACAGAACTGACGGAAAATATTTTTGCAATTTTGAGCAATAGCGATCTCATCAAAAAATATTTAAAAAAAATACAGTTAAAGAGATGGGCAGAACCAATGAAAAATGTGACAGACAAAATTGGTGCCCTAAAAACCCACACGCCACAAAATGACCCTAATAAATCTGCCAACACATACGACCTGAGCCATCAGGTCTGGCTGGAGTCCATTCAGTTTGAGAACAATCTGGTAAGACTATTACTATATTGTAAGTCAAGACACAAGCTGGGATGCAGGCGGTAGTTCTCTATGCGCATGGTTACATGTGCATTCAGTGTCAAAATCTATCCCATCGACCTATTTTTCTCAATATCGAGCTATCATTTGGATGTCAACTTTCTGAGCTGTGCTTGGAGACTTAAAGTCTCTCAATGAATCTGAACAGTGACGGCACATTTTGCCAACATTTGTGAAGTGGGGAGCACATTAAGTGATTGAGTTCTTTTCTAAGACAAAAATCGGGGGGATCAAACCTGGAAAGGGTCACATTATTTCCCATTTTAGGCAAACGTATTAATGACTCTGTTCTTCATATTGTGTCAATGGTCGTTGATAAATCTGGCCAAAGTTTGTTGAACATATAAACAGATAACAGAAATTTGACAGGAAGTCAATTTGAAAAAAGCTTAAAGAAAAAAAAAAAAAACATTTTGTCATCATTCATCACAATTTACATGTTCAAATGAAGTAGGAATAAGTAAAAACATAATAAAGCAAAAAGACAAAGCAAAAGCTCTTTCGATGCTTCCCAAGTCTGCCGAGACACACGCACGTGCATGTCGAATGAACAAGACACATGATCTGCCAACGACGACCATGGGCTTGAAACGTTCCATAACTCAGTCATAATTAAAGAACCATTTTGCCAGAGAAAGCCCCCAAAATCCAGATGCTCTAAACCATCTCTTAACTGGCATTTGGTCAACCCAAAACGCAAAAAGAGCTGATGAAATCTATCCCAATCCATGTACGTTTTATTCTACATACTGAAAGGTTTTCTTAAACAACTTTTACACACATTACACCAAGACGTTAACTGCCCTCTCACATGTTATGTTTTTATAACCTTAATGGCCATCCACAGGAGGTTTGCAATTGCCAATGCCCTGTATCCTGCATGCGTCATTGAAATATATATTTTCAAATGTACATCCAAACACAATCTATTATGGCAACATGTCCTATGGTTGGCAGGTGTGTTAAAATCTGGCAGCCATTGCACATTTCTATGATCGCTAGTCTTAGTAAGCTTTTATACCTACACATACAGTATATAGACAAAGAAAAATTTGCTCACTGTACCCATGTGTAAATAACGATCAGTGAAAATTTAGGAAGGGTCCATGATGTGGGTGAGGGGCTACAGAACAAACTTTCCATCTGCTGAGAATTTAATATCACGAGTATTTTTCCAAGAACAAAACAATGCAGTGTTTCACGAATCATTTATTCAGGACACAATAAAACCTGCTGCCTACGCAGAGATTAGTCACAGCGTTGAAAGGCATACCTGAATCCTGACTGGACTTGGACTCAGAGAGGCTGACTGCAGAGGCATCTCGTGACTGGTCGATCATGCCAATGTTCACCTTGTGCTTGTATGGGTCCAGAGCTCCCAGCAGACCGAGAACGCGAATGGCCTAGGGGGTTGGACACATGACACACACGCCATGACAGTAAGTCATCTTCTAACTGCTGGAAATCTGCAATTATTAATGAATACTTTCTGAAAACAGACAAGCCTCAAGAGCAATCACAGAGCACAGACCCGCGCCAAGGCCATGAAGGCATACCGGCACCTCAAATGTTTTCCTCATTTATTCCCTTGTAACTGGAAATGAAGGCTCTGCATGAAACTTTACCTCTTTTTAGCTACTGAGACCACGTCACAGTGCAGAGCATGATATCCAAATCGGGATTTTTTTTTTCATCCATCAAATCAATGAAATAACAAAATTCGACTTGTCATGTGAATGCAACAGTCCATGATGTGACACGCATGCGGACATCCATCAAATCAATGAAATAACAAAATTCGACTTGTCGTGAATGCAACAGTCCATGATGTGACGCGCATGCGGACAAAACATGACGTTGAGTGGCACCGTCAAGTGGCGCGCACAGTGTTTACAAAAGTAAATCGTCCTTTGTGGAGCTTCTTTCAGAATGACAGAGGATCAAGGCGGGAGTAGGTACAAATATTTTTGGAAAATGAGATGAAATTTATCCATCTCCTCATTTCATGGAGACGTCGAGGAAAAATGACGCGCCGTCATTACCACGCATAACAGATGAATCGTCTGTGTGGATGAAATACTACCATCACCACAAACGTCTACTTAATGCTTCATGTTTCAGGTAGAATTAAAGTCAAATGCACAAGTAACAACTTTGCAGATGCAGCATGAGCGAGCGCAGTGCATATTTGGCTTTTGATGGAATATACATTATTAAGTGTACAAATGAACGCTCATTCTGCAGATGCATCGGACACATATCCGATTTATATCCATTTGCCGAAAGTTTAAAAACAAACCAAAAAAAAAAAAAATCAGGACAGTGCATGGAAAAAGTTGGAAAAAAAAAACATCTGATACATGTCGCATACTGTATGGGCAAAATAATAAAAGTCAGAGTTGGAAATGTTAATATGACCTAAGATCCTTCATTAGCAGACCTAATTCAATTTCACTATATGACAAACT